GAGCGCCGTGCTGGGGCCGAGAGTGCTAACCCTGCCTGCCCTTGCTGCAGATGGAGCTGGAAGCGCTGCGCTCTATCTACGAGGGAGACCTGTGCTTCAGGGAGCTCAGCCCGGTTTCCTTCCAGTACAGGGTAAGGCGAGGCAAAGCGGCTGGGAGTTACTTTTGGAGCCTTGTGGGTGCCGTGCCAGGGGTTTGTAAACCACAGGGATATCCGATGTGCAGTAAAAAAAATAGGCGAGATCCGTAGGCTCTTGCTCCAGGATCTTTGGTACAGTTATGCTGGTTAGCACAATATGTCACGTTTAGAACCTGCTTTCATTGGGGGTTTACTACAGAATCACAGTGGGTCATCTGGTCCAACCTCCCTGCTCAAGCAGCGTCATCTCAGACCACAGGATTATGTCCAGACACTTCTTAAATATCTCCACTGAAGGAGAATCCACGATCTCTCTGGGCAGTCTGTTCCAGTGCTCAGTGACTCACACAGTAAAGAAGTTTTTCCTTGTACTCAGATGGAACTTCCCATGCATCAGTTTCTGCCCATTAGCTCTTGTCCTATTGCTTGGCACCACAAGCCAGTTATTCCTTAGCCAGGCATTCTGCTTGTGTATCTATGCCCTGTGTAGCCAGAACTGTCAAACCGGCTGAAGGAGCCACCCTGCTGAGCAATACTCACCCAGCTGTCAGAAATCAAGGGACTTACAGAAATGTTTGCATGTAAAACTTTGAACCTTTGCTGCTGCTCAGCACAAGGTTCCAGTCTCTTGTCCCAAGGCAGTTGACATGCCTTGTCTGCCTGCTAAAGAGAAGATCCACAGAATGCTTTGGGCATGTGCACCGATACAGTCTGCTCAGGAGAGACATACAGTTTGTGCTGAGCTCAAGATATGCAGCTACATCTTGGCACGAAATTCTTGCCAGCTTTCTCAGGTTTACAGACCTGGAAGTTTTTTGAGCATAGACTGATGCAGATCTTTGGACAGCCAGAGAACTTTACTGATGAGAACTTAGGCACCCGTGGGACAGAAGGGAGACTGCTGAATATGCCACATGCCTTACTGGGGAAGGAACATCTCAAATCTTCTTTCTGTGACTTCTCAAATAGCTTAACATCAGTAATTGCGATGAGATATAGGTTAATTTAATTAACAGCACTGGAATCCCATCCATGTAAGTGTGGCCTTCTTTCACTGATAGGACCACTCTTAATAAATTTAATCCCTCAGAAGGGGAAATGTGATGTGTCTGCAGTGTGTCATTTTACATTTTACTTGCTTTGGTCATTGCTAACTTTTATTAGATGAAAAATAATTGTAAAAAGTTATGATAACTCAAATACAGTAAAATCTGATGTCAGACAAAGGCAATAATATAGGAAGAATTTGTGTTGTGAGAAGGTGGATTCACCATCCCTGGAGGTTTTCAAGATAAGACTGGATGTGGCAGTTAGTGCCATGGTCTAGTAATGATGGGTGAGTTGGACTTGATGATCTTTGAGGTCTCTTCCAACCTGGCTGATTCTATGATTCTAAGGCATAATGCATGAGAAGGTAGAAAAGAATTTGTGTGCTGCTTTTCTGACCCTGGTGTCTTGCACCTGTCTCACAGCTGTTCGGTGGTCAATGTCCTTTGAAATTGACATTGAAGAAAGATTATTTTTTTTAAATATTACCAAAAGCTAGCAGCAGCATCATTTGCAGTAAGATACCCAATTTCTAGTTTGCATTGACAAGCAGGAGTGTGGTCCTGCAGCTCTGTGTGGGGATTTGCTCAGTGCTCAGACAGTGCTTTCCTGAGAGAACTCTGTTAACCTTACAGCCATGTCCGTTCTTGGCAGCAGTGGGAAATGGACTGCACCGCTGTAGGTGATGTCCTGAAAAATGTTGCAGATTCTTGATTTAAAGTCTTGCTTATTTCACCTCTAAACAGGTGTTTTTGCATGTCAATCCACTCTGCTGAAACAGACACTGTAAATAAAAAAGCAGCAACATTTTCTCTTTTGATTTTTAAATACATTAGCCTTACCTTGATTAGGGCTTCTCTTGTGGCTACACTGCAGTCCACATAGTTAGGTGAAGCCAGATTTTGACAGCTAGATAATGAGGGAAATAAGGGAGGATTTTTGGGTGGTTTTAGAACAGAGATTTAACCAACCTCGTTGTGCTAGTCTTCCAAATTCTTGTGTGAAACAGCCTTTCCTGTTTGCATAGGATGTCTCTGATAGCACCTGTACTAGTTTTAAATATTAAAAAAAGTTATTTATTTTTTATTTAACATACTTGAAGGGATTGTATATTCAATTTGGGTTTGCTGCATTTGGTGAATATGCCTGATTATTTATACGAAAGTGTGCCTCTTAAGTGCTGTGACTTTTTTTTAATCCAGTCTCATTCTACTGACTTCTTAAATCTTTTGCTACTCGTTCTTTCTTACTGTGAAATAAGATATCTGTAGGGCTGATACGTAAATGTTGACATTGTTACCCATTATTTTTGCTCTCTTAGGTTACTAGTTTATCATTGTCTTTATTTCAGCGCTGTCGTGTGGTTTGTTTTTATATTGCTCTGAGCTTAGATGTGTGTGGGGAAAAAGAATGTTTAGTATTTTCTGTTCTCATACGTGATTGTGTAATATTTGGCTTGCAGATGCTACAAAGTAGCTTTGAAACCCCAGCCATAAAAAGGGCTTTGAATGTTTCCACTGCTTTTCCTAGAATAGAAACTGCAGGGTAGAGGTTAACACTGATGTCCAAAATTTAATGCTTTTTCTGAACAGCAGCTCTATTTTCTAACTGATAACTTTATGAAAATAGTTGTTGTCCCAAGGAATTTGGATGAATTTAAAAGGCTTCCATGTTGGCATTGTAATCCTTAGTAAACAACTGGAAACTGTTAATTTATAAGGTTTTTCTTTTCACTTCAGATAGGTGAAAGTGGGGATCCCAAAGCCTTTCTAATAGAAGTTTCTTGGCCGGAAACATATCCACAAACAGCACCAGTCATATCTATGGATGCTTTCTTCAACAACACGATGCAAGTATCTCTGGCAGCTTCACGCCCTGGCCTTGTCTGTGGGGCCTTTGTTTATAAGCTTTTCTTCAGCTGTCTTGTTTATAGTTGAGTTTAATGATTTCTTTTAGATCTTCAGCCATTAAGCAAAGTATATTGGATAAATTAATGGTAGAAGTCGAAGCGAATCTTGGAACTGCTATGACATACACACTTTTTGAATATGCCAAAGACAATAAAGAGGTGTTCATGGAAAATCAGCCTGTTAACACTGTGGTAAGTGGATAAACTCAGACTTTAATTTCTTGTTTTTAAAACTGAAAAAAAAGAAAGGTTATTACTACTCTGAATACTTCATAGCTCTCTCTAAGTTGTAAATCAGTTCATTGGGTACACACATCAGTGGCTAAAAGTGACACACAGAGAATGGTGCCACAATGCTCTGTGGTTGTAATTGTTATATTTAGTTGTGATTTTTGCAGTTATACCAAAATGTTTGTGGGCTGCAATTGTGTCCCACAGCGACATAAAATAGATAATATAACATATTATATAATAACATAAAAATGGAGACTTGGAGCAGAAGCAAAATTAAAGCGAGTGAAAGAGAGATTAAAGGTGTGTGCTGAGGGCTGGAGGGGTGGCAATTTACTGCAGCCTTCCTGGGATGCAGTGGTGGCATAAGTGCACCTCCATGGTCTTAAAGAAGTCAGGCTGGGTCGTTCTGTGGCTCCTGTGTTATGTAAGGGTGATTATTTGCCATCCTGGTGCTGCAGATCTGCTTTGAGGAAGAAGGAATGTTTTCTGTGTGTGGGAAGTCTGAACCCCTTCAGACTAAATCCAACTCCATGATTAAATTTAAAAAGAGGTGCCATCTGCAATTCTAAAAAGCAATAATTCCAGTCCCCAACATGTTTTTAAAACTACAGTCATGTTTACATGTTGATGAAGAGCTGCAGACTGCTGACTGCATTGCTTCTTTCTGACAGTCAAGGTGTTTCAGTATGTCAGGTTCAGTAATCACACCACATAGAGGTGTCTGTGTGCAAAATATGCAGAATACTAACAACCACTTCTATCTTCTCAGACTTCAGTAAGCAATAGCGTTGCAATTAGGACTCCAGATGTGCCAGCAAGTAAGAAAAAAGAGAAGAAGGAGCAGTTATCCAAAACCCAGAAGCGAAAACTTGCCGATAAAACAGGTTTGTTCACTATCATATTCTTTTCTTTGGCCAGTATAAAAATCCAAGTTCTATAACAACAACATCTGGCTAGAGTCAGAATCACTAGTCATGTATTTGTAAGATTAACTACTTTGTGGTTTCTGTCTTACTTGTTTGAAGTGACTTATTCTTGCCTGACGTGTTAGTTCTGGTCAAAGCAACTTTCTTTCTGTAGAGTAGGGATTTCATTATGTCATTGTTTTGTTTTATTTTTTTAATTTCAATTTGTGACAGAAGTGAAACTTTCCAGAATACTTGTAGGAGGAGTGTGTTTGGGACTTCAAAACATTAACTGTCCACAAAAGATGTGGTTTGTTGATGGGCTCTCAAAAATAATCCACATTATTAAAAATGTAATTTCTAAATGAAAGCGTTTGCTTTGGAACCCAAAATAAAATATAATTTAGTAGGTATTTTAGAAATAGAGCTGCTTCTGCAGCTATTTTGTGCATTCAATGAATCAATAGGATTTTGACTGAAAGCTGTTCATTATTTCAGTTGATCCTGCTGATGACTTTTATGTGTTCAGCCTCAGCTTTTTTAATGATCTGGATACTGCTGTCCTAGTGCAGCTGTAAATTGTACCCTGTGATAGTGATTTCTCATATAATCTACCTAACCTAATGTATAATTGGCCGGGTTGATGTTAACTGTATAAAGGAAAAGCTACATAAAGTTTTGTCTTTGACATAATTTGTCATTGCTGCTCAGCCCAGCTCATGTTTGAGTTGCCTTCTAAATTAAGTTTCAGGTGGACTGAGGTGTTTTTATTTAGACAGAATTACTTTGAGTCACAGAGTCATCAGGGTTGGAAGAGACCTTCAAGTTCATCTAGTCCAATGGTCAGTGCAGCATCACCACCATCACCTCTTAACCATATCCCCAAGTACCACATCCTGACAGCTATTCAACACTTCCAGGGGTGGTGACTCCATGACCTCCCTGGGCAACTTATTCCACTGTCTAACCAATCTCTCAGTGAAACATTTTTTTTTAACATCTAATCTGAACCTCCCCTGGTGCAGCCTAAGCCCATTTCCTCTCATCCTTTCACTCGAGGTTGGTTGAAGAACAAGCTGTGTCTGGTTTTGTCCTCATGGCTTCCTAGTGGAGAAATTGAGTGTTTGGATATTTAGAATTTTGTGCATTGATTTCAAAGAAATATAAAGATTCTCCTTGGGCTGTGTGTTGAAAATAAACCCTTTTTATTCTGCAGATAACAAGGGGGAACTTCCACGAGGATGGAACTGGGTGGACGTAATAAAGGTAACATGACTGTACAATGTGCAGTGCTATGAAAATATTGCCTCTATGCATGAAAAACTATTTGTACTTCTATGTGAAGGCGACTAATCTGATATATTTTTCTTGGTTTTCTTCCTAACTGTGTTTGGATTTGACTGTGGTGTCTGATTAATTTCTGTATGTGTCCAGCACGTAAGTATTTTCAAGTTACTGACTTCCAGGGGTCTCCATGACCTCCCTGGGCAACTTATTCCACTGTCTAACCAATCTCTCAGTGAAACATTTTTTTTTAACATCTAATCTGAACCTCCCCTGGTGCAGCCTAAGCCCATTTCCTCTCATCCTTTCACTCGAGGTTGGTTGAAGAACAAGCTGTGTCTGGTTTTGTCCTCATGGCTTCCTAGTGGAGAAATTGAGTGTTTGGATATTTAGAATTTTGTGCATTGATTTCAAAGAAATATAAAGAATCTCTCAGTGAAACATTTTTTTTTAACATCTAATCTGAACCTCCCCTGGTGCAGCCTAAGCCCATTTCCTCTCATCCTTTCACTCGAGGTTGGTTGAAGAACAAGCTGTGTCTGGTTTTGTCCTCATGGCTTCCTAGTGGAGAAATTGAGTGTTTGGATATTTAGAATTTTGTGCATTGATTTCAAAGAAATATAAAGATTCTCCTTGGGCTGTGTGTTGAAAATAAACCCTTTTTATTCTGCAGATAACAAGGGGGAACTTCCACGAGGATGGAACTGGGTGGACGTAATAAAGGTAACATGACTGTACAATGTGCAGTGCTATGAAAATATTGCCTCTATGCATGAAAAACTATTTGTACTTCTATGTGAAGGCGACTAATCTGATATATTTTTCTTGGTTTTCTTCCTAACTGTGTTTGGATTTGACTGTGGTGTCTGATTAATTTCTGTATGTGTCCAGCACGTAAGTATTTTCAAGTTACTGTTTTTTTTAACATTAAAAAAATTTGCAAGAAAGACTAAGAACTGTTGCTTATTTTGGATTCTAATTTAGGTATTTCTCAAATGCTTTAAAATGCTAGTCCTGAATGTTAGAGTCAGAAGGACTTTGATTACTCTTCGAACTTTGTTGGTTTAGTATTCCTTTTTTATTTATTGGGCAATTAATATTATGGTGAGAGGAATTTGTTAACCAAACATTCTGCAAATATTCTGTCTTCATATGACAAAAAGATTTAAAATAAAGTTAGTGGTGCTACCATGTTCTGGTGGGCAGTGGATAAATAAGCAGAAAAATGGAGCTGTCCCAAGTGGGAGCACCTTGCTGACTCCTACAAGCCTCATTCTCTGCTGCAACTCCTGCAGAGAATAATACTTTTCTACTTGCTCCCTCAGCATGGATTTCTTCCGCCCTCTTGTCTTTGCTGATTCAGTGAAAATCACTGCTTGACAATTTTGAAAGCAAACTAATTTATTTCACACAACTATAAGTAACTTTCAGCCTAAGACCTAAGACCACTTCTAGTTGTTAAATAAGAGCAAGTAAATTATCATGGTGGTTTTGGGCAGAGTTCTTCCGAGTTAAAAGTGGCTATTTGTAGTAGATGTCTTGGATTCCAGATAGATTTCAGGATAGGTGTGTTACATTTCACAGTTACAAACTTTGCTTTAAAAGGTGAGAAATAGTAGGTTAATATCTCATTTTATATTGTCTAAATTTCTATTTGGGAATTCTCTCAGATGTGTGTGAAGATAATGTTCCATTACTTCAGCTCTTTTATTTCGGAGAGCTCATGACAGAGCCTTCAAATAAAATAGAAACAGTACCCGGAAGTTTTTCTGAGGTTTGATGTTGTTGTTTTTTAAATTCAACTTTCATGTTGAGGAAATAAATTCATTTAGTGTTTAAGCTTAAGAATTAATTTTTGATACTTTTCAGTCTCTTGGTACAGTAGCACGATCAGCCTGTATTGTTAATTAAGTATACATGTGTTCATTGTGAGATGGAGCTAATGTTCTTGTTTCCTAATAAATGGAATGGCAGTCTAAACTTTGAATACTTTCTTTTTGTGTCTCTTTTATAGTTAAGCAAAACTGGTTCTAAAGATGATGAATAAAGGACTTTGGTACAAGGAAACTCCACCTTTTAATACAGTGCAATTTTGGGTCACCATCTCTCTCTTAATGACTTTCTTATTTGTTGAAGTAAACATTTTATAAAGCTCAATTTCCTAACTCGTAAATCTAGTCACACAAGTTTATCTAGAGACTATATGGTCTTCTTTGGAAAGAACCCAACAAACCTGCCTTAAATGAAGGTTAGAATGTGACAAAGGATATAGAGAGCCAGTGTGGTGAAGTGAATAGTGCTGCAGTGTTTAGTAATTTATATTTTACTCTGTAGTAAAATCCTGTTATAGTGAACCCAATGATACTGTAAACATTTCCTGATGTTCTTACTCCAATTGAAAAAAAAAGCACTATAACAGTGATTGGTCACTTGACAGCTTAATTCATCAAAATAAATTATTCCATGGAAATAAGACCTTTGTCATTTGTTTATCTAATATGAACACAGAAGGAGAACATAAAAATTGTTGCATTGCAATACAGACTAGAGCTTATGGTCCCAGTTCCACTAGTTACTGGCTGAAATAGTAAATACTAGCAAAAGCAAGGCCAAATACTCCAGTCTGCTCAAAACTGAGTGGTTATAGCAGGAGTATGTCTTCCTTATCCTCTGCAATATCCCATCTCTTGGTCTTTCTCCAGTGTGCTTCTTTGCAGAAGGCTGGATATCTGAGGGGAGGGAAAAGTGCATTCTTGCACTTGTCTCGGTGAGTGTTGGGATTCTGTAGCTGACTGTAGGGTTTGCTGACTGACTGGTGGGACAGTGGAAGTCAGCAATCTCAGGTGTGTTGGGAGAACTCTTTTCTTTTGCCTCTAATCTGCCCTCTTGTATCAGAAAGAGAAGTCATCTTTGCTATTATGAACTGTTACTGAATACAAGATGCCTTAATGTCCTTTATTATTTTTGTTTGTTTTGAGATGAACTTTAATAAATGCCTATTTATCTGCTGTGGTATGTGTTTATTTATTAAACTTTGTATTGTCTACTGTGCTTCTAGGGCCAGGTTTGAACTTGCAAAGGATTTTCTGTTACAAAGAAAGCATTCTTAAAAACTGGTGCAAGAATTCTGTCTTCCCTCTTGTGATATGCTTACATGTTCTTTGGGGTAACTGTGTGTGTTATGAACATGAAGGTGAGTCACCCCACCAAGAGTCATAGGACAATATCCATTGCATTCTGTATACACAGCAAGTCCAGTGTCTCTTTGAATGAGTGCACTCCACTGTGTACAGCATCTTCATTTCAGAAAGTTAGGATTTCTTTTTGAACTCAGTTTGCTTTTAGTAAAAGGTTGTAAAGTACACAAAGGAGGACTTCTTCCAAACGGCGCAATCTTGCCTTCGACAGAAACTAGAGGCTCTCGGCTGCAATCTGAGCAAGAGCATCTGTTGAGAGAGTACCACTGCAGGGAGAGTGCATGGTGAACCTGTAGCAGGGAAAGGCATTTAGCTTTAGTCTCTGCCAGCATCAGAACAGGCAACTTCCTATTCACAAGTTCTCCAAGGGGAATTGACTTGTCTTTGCTAGTATCCTTGGTATATAAATCAAGTTGCCATGACAATTTATCTGAATAGACTTAGTTAGGGAGCGTGAAGGAAGGACAAATAAGAACCACGTCTCTTGCTTTTTATAGTGCTACTGTGCATAACTTGTTAACCTTGTGAAATGCCTGACTTTTCAGCTCCTAGTCTGCCTGTAAATCACATGCTGTCATGAAGATATCCGGTTCCATGGTTCTGTTAGTAAATGTGTTTGCTTTGAAGTGTGCTTTCAAGGGAAATATTTTGCACTGGGAACTGTTGTACTAGTTTTTTGTTTCTGTGTAAATTTTGAAAGGTAATTTGCATCATTAAACCATTTTCTCATAGAATGTGATGGTAGGAACAGGATCATTTAAAGAATCTGGGTACTTGATTCTATGGAGAGGCCTGAGCACTGACAACTGAGGGGAGGGAAAATGTGATGATTCTTATCAAGAAAAACACAATTGTAAATAAAGATTTT